TTAAATTATGTGGAAATAATTTTATTCTTTTTTATTTCTTGTATTCCGATTTTTATTTTTTACAAGTTTAATTTTTGAACGTTCTGGGTGAATTAAACGATATCACAACTTAAAGGTGATACTAGAATGTCGTCAAAACAGTTACATTAAGTATTTGATTTAAAAGCAATGTTTATTAATATTGGACTTCCGCGGTGACAAAAATAACTTAATTTAAAAATTTATGTTAGAATTTTTATAAAAAGTATGTTAATAAATAAACCTACAGTCTACCTGATGTTAAGTCTGCTCAAATGCAGTTCATAGACACCTGCGGTCAACTTCAAACAATAAAGACTACATAATATGAGCTATCACCTCTGAGGACTAAGATGGAATGCCAAACAACCTGTAATTATAATTGTTCTATGTACTTTTCTGATCAGACACAGCAGTGCAAGCTCTGCTATTGAGCGGCAGAAATAGGTAAGACGGTGATCATAAAACCTTGATTTGTCTGACAATATGAAAACACATAAATACAAAAATCTTAAATGACAAACTGATTTATAAGTCTCATATAAAAACTAAAGTAACAGCTAACATACGTTTCATTACTGTGCACATGGCTCCTCATTACCTATAGTGTTTTATGGGCAGAAAAGAGTATGCTGCAATGCTTCAATGCGTATTAACGGTTTTCAAATTGCCACGACTTTTTTAACTATTCAGACATTTATGTTTGCCCACGAAGTTATTCTTCACCACTTCACCGGACACGTGGTAAATCAGCACTTAAAATTTTCCATAACAAATTCATTTGTCCTCAAAGGACTCGTACACGTTACCACACACACAAACTCCTATTCAGATAAGAAGAGTCCTACCGCCTAGAGTATTTACCTTAGTGAGTGATAATGCCAGTGTCTGCTGTACGCTGAGGCCTGGCAAAAGCCGTGTAGAATGTCGCACGAGAGCGCACGTGTTCCTGAACTGTTCTTCTTCGAGCGGCACTCCTTCTAGAAGAATGTGACCTTTGCATGGTACACGGCGAGCGATCACATCTAGTAGAGCACGCTTTCCGCTTCCTGTAAGTATGAAAAATAGTAAATATGTATATTAATAATTAGTAAAAAAAAAACAAATCCGATTCATTGTGGTGTTCATCTGGTGTTCTAAGAGGTGATAAAGTTTAACAAATCGAGTGATGGACAGCAGCATCTTCCTAATAACAGGCCAACCAGCCTGGTAGTTTTTATGGCAAATATGGCCCTTTAGAGTCAATCCATGGGGAGGCCTATGTTCAGCAGTGGACTTTGGCTGTGATGGATGGATGAATTAATACACCATATTAATAAACGTGATTCATTGACAGTTTTGGATTTAAACTATGGTTTTGGACGAATCTATTTTACGAAAAGTCCCTTAGCCGAGCCGCCGCAGTTTTCGCGAGACGTTTTAGTTAGCACACTTTCCTTAAAACTTTTTAATTGAAACAGATTCTGGTATAAACCTGGGACAAATTATAAACTACTTTTTGGTTTATGACGGTATTGATTTAAGTGGGTATTACTTGAACTATTGACTTATATATTATATTTTAAACTATTTTATATTCTATTGACTGCCTAGTTGGTATGGTGGACATAAACGCGGTTGCTGATCAAGAGGTCCTGCGTTCGACTCTTGTGTCGGGCAAAAATCAGTAATTGTGTTTTTCGTTTTGAGAAAACCTCAGTAGTAACCAAGAACCAGTAAAGTTGGCGGTGTTCACCCCATGCTGCGGAAATCACGTAAAGTTGGACCTGCGCTTGATCTCTCTCTGTTCGTGTCGAATGAGGGCTAATAATTTTCTGCTCACCAGATGTCGCTAATTGACACTGAGGTAAAGTTTTTTGTTACTCAATGTAATTTAATTGAGAAGTTGGTTTTTAATAAAGCTTATCAGTTTCTGGAGTATTATATTAATACACAAAACAATGCGCGAGTGCAAACGCTCTCTAATTTTTTACATTTTTTTAACATTTTTTTTTAAATTTTTCAACTTTTATGAATATCTGTGGTTTGGTTTATTTATTTTTATTCTTATTAATATAAAAATTAGCCAAACAAATTAACTTCCCCGCTATGAACTCTGTCAAATATTATACCTTTACTTTCCAGTGGCACCGCCCTGGTGGCAGAAAAAGTCGTGGATGCCCTCATTACCGTCCCATCGGAATATGAGAGTGAAGGAATAGAGAGTGCACCTGTGCTTGCGCATACACTCGGACACTATAATCCTGTCCTGTGTAGACTAGTCTCCGTCGAGACCGGCCGCAGAGACCGAAATTACTTGGACCAGATCTGTCCATGCCAACAAAATAATTAAAGATATAAATTTTATCTTGAAGTTAGTTCATTACAACATTTTATATGTAAAACGATTTTTGTTTGGATCTGCAATATTTTTTTAAGTTGATGAAAAGTTTTAAAGTTGTTTATGTGTGTTATACGTATGATAATATCGCCATTGTGTCTACTGTCGGTCACGGGTAGTCCGTCCAAAACGAGATAAAGTAACTGTCTCATTACATACTCATGATCTACATATGTAAGTGTTAAATTAATCTAAACATGAGTTTAAGTAATATTTGTCAAAGTTCATTTGTTTCTTTGTGTGTTCTGATTATGTGTCTTAATATAAAAAAATCCATATACAGTACCTTTGGAACCAAGTATTGCAGTCACCTCTCCGCTGTGTGTTAGCATGGAGACATCTTTGAGAATGATACCAGTCTTTACACCGCCCGTGAGACGCTGGAAGAAGTTCCCCGGCTCGACCTAGCGTAGAATTCATAGTAAAGTTTCTCGGGATAGTGATCACTCCTTTACTTATCTTATTAAGCAAAATAAATTTCATATAATGGCTGATGTCCTTTAATATGGGGATTGAGTAATTCTGCCACAGAAAAATTCTAATGCGGTCAAATAAGGAAAGAGTAACTTTGATTAATTTCGTACATGACTCTTGCATCTATTTGTCTTGAATAGTATTCAATCTTCCCATCGTATTACTTAATAAAATAGCTTTATTACAATCTAAGCAAATATAGCCATTGTCTCCAGCTAAATATTTGTTATCACTATACTGTATCCCCAGTATCCCTTATAAAAGACATCAACGCGTTAGCAATGTTATAATTCATTCACAAATAAATATTTATAAATATTACCAACTAATTAATTTATATGTAGACTATAAACACATTTTTAGATTTTAAAATTATTTTATACTAGAAATGCAAGTTTTTCCTAATACAAATTTAAAATAGCAATTAAGCATTTTAAGAAGATATTTTGGAAATTTCGACGTTCTCGTAGAGCCTATAGTACAGCCACCTCACACCGCTCACAAATTTGTAACAATTAGCATGTTATATATAAATAAAATAAACTTCGCAAACAACTTACTTGCCCAGAGTGAAAAACATTGCATAACTCGAGAGTGTAGTCACTCCCGATCATTTTGGTATCACTTCTCAAAATAGGATCGTTCGGAAATTGGGAACTTAGAAGAAGAAACAAATTACGTATTTTCAAACACCCACCTCACAATAAAACCTTCGCAAACTAACTTATTGCGGTCAACTTCAAAGTTGACGTTATGTTAGCGACGTTGCCACTTTTATTCGTTACTCACTTCAGGGCTCTTCGTGCATTAGACTTTATAGGCTTTTATAATGTAAGCAAATTTAAACTTTATTCTCATTGTGAACAGTTCAAAGTAAATTGATTGTTACTTTATGGCAATTTAAAGTCAAGTTATATCATCTCGATGCTGTTTAGTGGCGGCATAAAGGAATCCACTATCCGATATTACTTGTGTGTCGAAGGGTAAGTGAAATAGGAGACGGGTAGCAGCATCTTCCAGTAAAAAACTCAATAATAATAATAAAATACTGCGGGTACCAACTGGCGACTATATACAGGATTATTTTTCAAAGAGTAGCCTAATTTGAAACTTAAGTTCAAATATATAAATAATGATATACCGTTATTGCAGTTTTTGAAAACACGAGTAAATAAGGCTTCTAGTACTATTTGAAATTATCCCAAATTGTATGTGATTAATAAGCAACAACTACGCGTACGCGATTCAATTCACAGCGTTTATGCCGACCGATCGACCTTTACGAATGTCTGCGTGCGTTGTAAATTAGTAAGTGTCAGATATTAATGAATGACAATCACTTAAAATAATGCATTGCCACGCATTCTGAATTTAAAAGAATAACCGGCCAAGTTCGAGTCGGACTCGCGCATGTAGGGTTCCGTACCATCGTAATACACGTTTCTAGTAGGGGAGCCTCTTTTGATATTTAATTTATTTAAATTTTTAGAATAGAATAGAATTAAATTGACTGACTCAATAAACTAACAATACTACGATGGTTATGATTGTATCAAATTTCTAATCAGTATTTTGTGAATTCTTTTATTCAGTCAAAGCCCTTTTTACTGGAAATGAGGCATTCCATCTGAGTCCTCACGGGTGAAAACGCATCTGCATTTAGATTCGCAAAAGAGGATAGTTGTAGATGTCTATGGGCCGCTGCAACCACTTACCATCAGGTGGACTGTGTGCTCGTTTGTCACCCTTATCCTATAAAAAAAAAATGTCTTATTATGTGCATAAAGTCGCAATAGAAAATTTATTAATCGACTCTAAAATGCTATGATAACATTTTATATTATATAATATAGTAAAAATAGGACGTTTTGCCGCAGACTTGCCCTTAACAGCAAAGCCTCTATTTTCCATGTATTTTCTACGCACCGTTGCTGCACATATTCGCCATGAACAGCTAAAATACTCTCTCTTTCCTTCGCGCCTTAAAGCCTCTTCTAATTACGAGACGCCAATATGCTGCGTACGCGCATTATGAATTCCATAAATTTTCCGTCTCTCTTCTTCAAATCGAATTGAATTTGCGTGGACAGGGACGGACGTACAAGCAATGTCACTGACTGTTCAGTTTGTCTGAGCGCGGTCGCGGTATAGTCTGGTAGCTCGGGATGATAACGGGTCTCACAGCTAGTATCTAACGAAATTATTCAAATAATTTAAACTTAAATTAAATTAATAAATATTTAAACTGTTCAAGTGATGTCGCATTGTTATATTTTTTTTAATTTTTGGTGATAAGTGTAGTGCTGTGATTCAGTGACCTGGGAGTCCCGTTGGCCGGTGTTTTATCAAGTAAGTTCACGACGCATCGTATTCTGGTGTAAGGTGTTTACGTAGACAAGTGTAAGCATTCGTTAATTCTGTATGGGTAAGAATTTTAGATGCATAGAGTACGTTAAAATACACCTGAAATTTAGATGTCATTCACAAGCTAAAAAGTTACGGTGCATACGAGAAGACCTTATAAGAAATTACCACTATTATAACCATAAATATAAAACAGAAACGTAACGTTTTTCGTCTTCATTATCAGGCTGTGAAATATTGTTAAAATATTTTTGTAACTACTATATTAATATATATATATATATATATATATATATATATATATTACGTACTAAATAAGCAAATATTCTCACTTAAAACACTATAATCCAAATCCAGAGTATATTTTCATTCTGTTATTAAGCAGGTTGAATTTGCTAATGAAATTTTTTGCACCGAAAACAAAGTTACAAAGTAGTAAAGCAGTTTAAAAGTTTAGTATAGTTACTTTAACCTAGTACTAGTACAGTGTTTGGTTTAAAGAGTAGAGAGCCAAAATAATAAGACGCTGGAAGGCATTTCAATTTACTTTTGGGGTTAAGGGGTGTCATGGCATCTGTGGTCTCTTTGTTGATAGTAAGTCGCAGATGTCCACTGGATGCTGAAGATACCTTACTTACCAGGTGAACTGTTAGCTGCTTGCGTTACTCAAGGTATTATAAGGCTATGTCGCTGATGCGATTATGACACTCTGGTAGCTTCTATGAGATTTTTATTTGATTCCAAGAAACTGCGTCGTTTTATGGTATTCATTGTAGATGAATATATGATTTAAGTTGTATAATTTGCATTTTGATAGCTGGTAAAAAGTATTTGATACGTCATGCGTGTCAGTCACCCTATATCAATAGATATCTGCTACAACAAAAACTATACTATAAAACTACTAGGGTTGTACGTAATAGCGCTAAATATACAAATTTATAACGGGTAGTGGCGGTGTAAGAATATCCACTATCCGTATGTGTCGTAAGAGACGACATAGGGAAACAATTCAAAATAAATTCTTCATAAAATCCAAAAAGAAAACTGGTTGCCAGCTTACCTGACAAGCATGGCAACCATAGAAAAATCCCCCTATGAAGCAATCCATGGGGATACCTATGTTCAGCAGTGGACTTTTATAAGCTTTAATGGATACAAATGCATTTACCCGTATCCATCTTCTCGTAAGTAGCGCTTATTTGATAACATCTTTTTTTCTCTTACAAAAAGGTTGTTTAAACACAAGAAATTCTTCCGTATCGTGGAGGCAGTTAACATACGTAAGTTTCACAAGGATAAACATCCAGACCCGGTACAATTATTTGTAGGCCATGCAAATAGTTGTTTCCTGCGGAACTCGAACTTGTGGCCCTCCCACAAAAGGTAGAGTTACAAAAATGTAAAGTAAAAGCTTATTTACGTTCCACTGCTAAGCGCGGGCATACTCTATTTCTAAAAGGGTTTTTGGAGCAGAAAAGTATCTGCCGCCTCAATGCATGCTGGCTGACTTAACATGGCTTCGAAATATTTTATAAATTTTTTTCGATCGATCGATTTTTAACGATGTTTTCCACTTCTGTCAGGCACGTGGTAAAAAAATCTAAGAGATTCAAACTTGGACACTCGAAACAGGAATTTTTTTTACCTCGTAGGTGTCCTAAAAGTCGACTTAACGTCGTTAATAGTGACGAAAAGGAAGTGAAGTAAATTACAGAAAAATTTCGTATACTTCAATAGTTGTACGTTATATATAAAAGACGTAATATACTCAGACTAGTGACAGAAACTGTGCCGTGTAGTGGCGGTCAAGAATATCCACTACCCCATATCCTCCCGTGGGTGTCGTAAAAGGCGACAAAGGGAAACAGGCAGAAGATGGGCAGCAGCATCTTGCTGATAATAGCCAAAAATTATAATAAAAAAACTGCGGTTGCCAACCCGCTCGCCAAGCGTGGCAACTATGGCAAATATCCCCCCAATGACTAAAGCAACAAACAGACGGCCCCCAGTCCCCGGCGGCCCCGCTATTCCTGGCTACGGTGGCGACCATGGTAACGGCGGGGCAGGGGGTGCTAAGAATCTCCGGTGGAGGTTCGGTTGCCACCTTAGACGACTCGACCTGGCAACGTACAACGCACGCACCCTGAGGACTGACGAGAAGATCGTGGAGCTGGAAGAAGAGATAGACAAGTTGCGCTGGCATATTATAGGATTATCCGAAGTCCGAAGAGAGGGGGAGGACACGGTAATCCTCGAATCCGGCAACTTGCTCTATCACCGGGAGGGCGACCATCTGTCCCAAGGAGGTGTCGGATTTATCGTCCACAAGTCTCTCGTTAACTACGTTGTAAAGATCGGGAGTGTGTCGACGAGGGTTGCGTACCTTATACTCAGAATCTCCAAACGGTATTCGCTGAAGGTCATACAGGTTTACGCACCAACCTCGGCACACCCCGATCAGGAGGTGGAGGAAATGTATGAGGATATCTCTAGAGCCATGCATTCCTCCAAAACCCAATATACGGTGTTAATGGGAGACTTCAATGCAAAACTAGGCACAAGAGAGAACGGTGAGCTGAAAGTAGGGAAATTTGGAATAGGGCAACGGAACCCAAGGGGCCAGCAGCTGGCCGACTTCATGGAGAAAGAGGGACTCTTTATGATGAACTCTTTCTTCCAGAAGCGGCCCCACAGGAAGTGGACCTGGTCGAGCCCCGACGGTTCGACAAAAAATGAGATTGACTTCATTATGACGACCAGACGACAACTGTTCAGTGATGTCTCCGTGATCGCGAGGGTGAAAACTGGTAGCGATCACCGAATGGTTAGAGGCACACTGAACCTAAACGTTAAGTTGGAGAGGTCTCGTCTAATGAAGTCAACGCTCCGTCCCCCTCGTGCTCTAATCCAAAGTCCCGAAACCTTTCAGCTCGAGTTACAAAACCGTTTTCAGTGCCTAGAAGACTGCAATGAAGTGGACGATATGAATGACAAGCTTGTGGAAACTGTCCATGCGGTCGGAGCTAAGTTCTGCAAGACCCGCCGCAGAAGAACACAAAAACTCTCCGATCACACTCTTAATCTCCTGGCTGTTAGACGGGAGATGAAGCTACATTCTTCAACAGACTTGACAGCATACAGGCATCTGAACAGACAGATCTCCAAATGCATGCGGCGGGACTTACGCAACTTCAATACAGCTCGTATTGAAGAAGCGATCGAGCGGAACCAAGGCTCCAAAGTCTTTGCCAGAGATCTGTCTGCCAGAAAGAGCCAACTGTCAAAGCTGAAGACAGAATGTGGCAGCATCGTTTCCGGGACACCTGAGATTTTGAGTGAGATTGAGAGGTTCTATGGGCAGTTGTACACGTCATCGTTGGAGCCACACGCAAGTGTGAGTAACGATCCAAGAGCGAGTCTCATCCGACACTATTCCGAAGATATCCCGGACGTCAGTCTGAGCGAGATTAGAATTGCTCTCCAGCACCTTAAAAACGGTAAGGCCCCAGGCGAGGATGGAATTACAGCGGAGCTTCTGAAAGCGGGTGGAAAACCGATACTTGAAGTCCTTCAGAGGCTCTTTAATTCCGTCCTCCATGGTGGCATTACACCGGAGGCGTGGAGCAGAAGTGCGGTGGTCTTGTTCTTCAAGAAAGGTGACAACGCTCTCTTGAAGAACTACAGACCGATTTCCCTTCTGCGCCGCGTCTACGTGCTGTTTTCGAGAGTCATTACGAATCGTCTTGCGCGCAGACTTGACGACTTCCAGCCTCCCGAACAAGCCGGTTTCCGAAAGGGCTTTAGCACCATAGACCACATACATACCCTTCGGCAAGTTGTACAGAAGTCCGAAGAGTACAATTTGCCACTATGTCTGGCGTACGTGGACTATGAGAAAGCCTTTGATTCCGTCGAAATTTGGGCGGTGCTGCAGTCCCTTCAGCGGTGCCAAGTTGACTGTCGGTATATCGAAGTGTTGAAGTGCTTGTACAGTAGGGCTACGATGGCTATCCGAGTACAGAACCAGAGTACGAAACCTATCCAATTGCAGAGAGGTGTAAGACAGGGTGACCTCATATCCCCGAAACTCTTCACCGCTGCATTGGAAGACGTTTTCAAGCTTCTGGACTGGAAAGGGTACGGTATCAACATCAATGGCGAGTACATCACTCACCTTCGATTTGCCGACGATATAGTCCTTATGGCAGAATCGCTGGAGGGCCTAAGCACTATGCTCAATGACCTCAATAGTGTTTCCCAACGGATAGATCTTAAGATGAACATGGACAAAACAAAGATTATGTTTAATGTCCATGTCACACCTATGCCGGTAGTTGTTGGGAGCACTAAGCTCGAAGTTGTTGACGAGTATGTTTACCTGGGCAAATAGTCCGACTAGGTAAGTCCAACTTCGACCGAGAGGTCAATCGACGGATTCAACTCGGCTGGGCAGCGTTCGGGAAGCTACGACACATCTTCTCGTCAGACATACCTCAAAACCTTAAAACGAAATTGTACAACCAGTGCGTGTTGCCAGTGATGACTTACGGAACTGAGACGTGGTCCTTCACTGCTGGCCGTATGAGGAAGCTCAAGGTCGCTCAGCGAGCTATGGAGAGGGCTATGCTCGGAGTTTCTCTGCGTGATAAACTTAGGAATGAGGATATCCGCAGTAGAACCAGAATAACCGACATAGCCCAACGAATTAGTAAGCTGAAGTGGCAGTGGGCCGGCCATATAGCTCGAAGAACCGACAACCGATGGGGAAGAAAGGTTCTCGAGTGGCAGCCTCGTACCGGTAGGCGAAGTGTAGGGCGTCATCCCACGAGATGGAGTGACGACCTGGTAAGACATGCAGGAAGCCGATGGATGCAGGTGGCTCAGGACCGTGCTTTGTGGCATTCTTTGGGGGAGGCCTATGTTCAGCAGTGGACTTGTGAAGGGCTGTAATGATGATGAAATGATGAGTGACAGAAAACATC